TAATTATAGTTATTTTTAATTACAGTGTATAAAGACTAAACTTCTTTAAAGACAGAGTTCAAGAACTATCATACTGTTGTATTGCATTCTTCATTGAAACTAAATAATATAATAAAAATATATTTTAAATAACGTCATATACATATAATTTGAAGCAACTATAAGCATAATATATTTCACAGTGTCCGAAATTCAGACAGTTGACATATATATGTCAACAATGTGTCAAAGTTTGTTTAGCATATGTGACCATAATTGACAAAAGGGCCCTTATGGCGGATTCTAAAATTGATCATTATAATGGAAAATATCAACCTGTGAGTGCTTTGTTAGACAATCATTGTTTCTAAAAGTTTCATAATAACTTTTTGCATCCTGTGGAGTAATTTTATGATAAATGGGGCTCAGGAAGTTGGATTTCTTAGGCTAGAAAGACAAATTTTACTACCCGCCATAAGGTCCCTTTTGTCAATTATGGTCACATATATATGTGACATATATTTTACTTTTAACTGGGTAGCCAGTGAAACGTTCAAGCACAATGGATTTATGAATGTAACTAAAGAAATTGATAGTTGCTCCTTTTTGCTGCACTTTTTTGCTTCATGTGCCATAACAGTAAAATAGTGAGCAGCAGTACAGTCATCTTTAATATACTGTCGTACCTTATTAATCAAGAAGTGCATAATTTCATTCCAAAAGCAGGAAATAGCCAAGTATGTGCTCTCTTGTTAACAAGTCTACTTTTCACAACACTTGAATGCCATGACAACTTTTGTTAGAAGAAAGTTATAATTACTAAGGTTAGAAGAAGATTCACTCTCATCATGCCTTCTGAGTACTATCCCTTCCTCTACACAGTAGAGCATTTCCTTCAATAATGACTCCACAGATTTTCTGTTATCAGCTATAACTTTAGCTCCACGCATGTACAGCTGAACTACAACACTGCTATCGCAATATACTCTTTTTGTTTTCATTCAAATTGAGCATTGCTTTGGTATTTGTTGCTGATTACAAATGAATACTCAGATCCCCTTTATTACCTAGTGCATATTTTCAATCTGGAATCTGGACTTGTCTGCAAATGTCTGTGCAATGGCAATATGCAGAATCACAACTCACTGAATATTCTAACCATGGGTATATGCTGTACCACCTACTCATGAAAGACCTACAAACACTATCAAAAATTGACTTTGAAAACGTACAATAATGAAGCTGCAGCTTCAGACCCATGGCTAGAAGTAGATGGTGATTCATGAATGAGGACAACTTCATGACTTGTGGCTAATCGCAATATTCTGCCAGTGTCAGCCACTTGTGTACCGTCAGGCTGTGGGTCCAAATAAAATGAATTTTGAAATACATTCATGATAATGATAATAACTATGTGACCTAGCAGGCAAAAATTGTGCAGTTGACAGCATTTGTTGCTGTTAACGTAAGATGTAACTGAGACTCTGTACCAAAACTTTATACATAACATGATAACATTAGAGTATAATGTTACTACCAAAACAATGAAACTATAATAACATTGGAAATTTACATGTTTATGGATGCTTATCTAAATGGCAAACAATACCGCCAATTGGACCATTTTTGTCTGCCACATCGCATTTATACTATAGTTTATACTATTTGACCAAAAAGTTTACTCATTAATGGCATGTAGTTGAGATCTTTTAGCTTAATAGTGCAAGCCTTGCATTTTATGTTGAATGTATATTTATTCAAC